ACATAACAGCTTTTGAAAGTTTTGACTGACTTAGATGTTCAGCACTCTTTCTCTAGGTGGGAATAATTTCTGGTGATTAACATTTGCCAAATGAAGTAGTCAGATGAATTAGAGCTAACTCAGACTATCTCCAATGTGAGTGACTTTTTTTTTTCTCCTGATAAGATGAGTTATGGTTTTTATATCTTTGGCCTAAAAACCTTTGGTCATTCTTACTTACTATAATCAGATATTTATCTAAAATGATATAAAAATCAATTTTCAGATTGACATTGAGGTCAGGCTTGTGTAATCTTTTTTTAAACTCCTCTGGATTTAGCCCGCCTTTTGGTTAAGGGATTTTTTGTTTGTTTGTTTACTCGGATGCTATGAAAGGGCCGTCGAGTGAAGCAGCGTCACACTAAGGCCTTTGTTCCATGTTGCTTAGCAGGCTGCTGCCGGTGACAAACGCTGCCAGTGACGCGGTCCAGCGTTGTCGCTGAGCCTCCTTGCCTCTCCCTCAGAGCCCTCAGGGAGGAGGCAGCAGAGCTGGGGTGGCAGGCTGAGGCTCACACACACTGCAAGATTTGGAGCTCCTGACTCTCCTGGTGTCCAAGACCTGCAGGGTTGTATAAGGGAGCTGTTAGCTGCAGGTGGCCATGTAGTTAATTCGAAATAAGTGAAATTCAGATTGTGCCTCAGCCATTCCAGTCTCATTCCAGGACTTGGTGGCTACATCTAGCCGATGGTGACCGTGCTGGACGGTGCAGATACAGAACACTCCCACTGTTATGAAAAGTTCTCCTGGACAGTGCTGCCCTGCAGTGTAGTTTGGAGGACCGGGTAGATGTGAAATGGGTTCCTCACCCACCCATCCTGCTTATTAATAAAAATAACTTTTTGCTAAATTCCCTTTAAATAGAAATTAATCTTTAACTTGTGCTTAAGAAAGGTGTAATGTACACAGTTCAGTCTTCAGTCTTTTTAGCACTAAAGTAGCTTGCCCAAGTGAAAACTCTAAGGGAATTAAAATGAAATAATATAGGTGCAGTGCTAGTTGAATCAGGTTTTGTGGTTTGAGCCGGAGCAGCAGTGGTCACTCGGACGCACCCTTGAGCCCTGTGAGGGACCTCAGAATGCAGCGTGAGAGCTCTCCTGCTGTCGTAGAAAGCAGTGTGCTGTGAGTCTGGAGTCGTGGGTCCCAGTTTCACTGCTGCCGCTCACACCTATAGAAGTAACTTCCAAATGTAATGTCTTGCTTTTTTCTACTTGACCATATACTAATCAACTAATTTTGACCTTTATTTCTTTATTTCCCTTCTGTTAAACAGATGATCTCCAAGGGTCTTTCATTTCTATACATTGTCATTGGAAACTCTACTGTGCTATTTAGAAAAAAAAATGCTGTCATTTTCATTATGTGAAACTTTGTATTGTACTTTTCAATAATCGGTGGTCACAAGCTATGAGATCCAAGAGCACATGGAAGTCATGTTTTGTTTTGTTTTGTATTCTTTTTTTTTTTTTTAGGTTTTTGTTTTTGCCATAGGGTGCTTTTACTCACCAGAGAGACAGAGAGAGGGAAAGTAGGAAATCACCCCCCTTGTGATTTCTTCCACTCTGCAGTCCCTTTTCCTCCATTCTCCTCTTAGGATTTGGGGATTTTGAAAAGTGATTTTCAAGCTGCTGGGTCCAGGACTCAGACTGCAGTCAGCCACTGGGAGTCCAGTGCCCTAACAACCATGCCACCTGCTGGCCCCAGAAGTTGTGTTTTCTAGCAGGGAGACTGGCTTCCATCAAATAAACTGGCATTTTTCCCTTAAAGATAACCTGGGATATCTGGATTTTGCTCATTAGCTTTTTGTATTTCTTTTCCTTTCTTTTTTAAAAAGAATTATTTATTTAAATTTATTTATTAATTCATTTATTTTAATTTGACTAGAGAGAGACACAGAGAAAGAGGAGAGCGAGAGAGAGGGAGAGAGGGAGAGTGAGAAAGCAAGCCACCAGGTCCGGGACTTGAACCATGGTTAGCCATGTGGGCGTGTCCAGCGCCTTAACCACCACGCCACCTGCTGGTTCCCGCCTTTAGTATTTATTAAATTCTGAGCACACCCACAGCTTCTGTCTCATGGCTCTCTTTGTTATATGTGACTTGTGACTTTATCAGAGTCCTTAATAGAGGGTTTTTTGTTTGTTTGTTTGTTTTGTTTGTTTGTTTGTTTGTTTTTTGAGAGAGGTTTTTGCTATAGGGCGTGTGTGCTTGCCAGAAAGACAGAGAGACAGAAAGTGGGAAATCACCCCCAGAGGGGATGGCCATGCCCCAATCTCTTCTCCTCCATTCTCCTCTTGGGATCTTGGCATGCATGCACACAACGCCTGGCATGAGTTTAAGCCACTGGAACTCAAACCATGGTCAGATAGATGGGAGTCCAGTGACATAGCCATTACGCCAACTGCTGGTCCCGAGAGTCCTTAATAGAGTTTAATACTCCTTCCACAGGAGATTGCTGTGATGTAAAATCCTTCTGATGCTGTAGTTCGTGATGTCAAGTTTGAGAATCTTCTTTTCCTCTTCCCAGTGGCACAGTAGCTCATAAGATCATGCAGAAATATGGCTTCCGGGAAGGCCAGGGTCTTGGCAAACACGAGCAGGGGCTGAGCACTGCACTGTCGGTGGAGAAGACCAGCAAGCGGGGTGGCAAGATCATTGTGGGAGACGCCACAGAGAAAGGTGAGTCCCCAGAGAAGCGGCACACCAGTATGGGGACAGAAAAGAGTTCAGTCAGACGGAGAGGCTGGCCTGGCAGTTCACAGGTTCATCTTTATTTTTTCAGAACAGGGTTAGAGAGTTGAAGAGATGGGAAGAGTAGTCCTCACAAAAATACTTTCAAGCTTACGTCAATGAATCTTGTTACTTGATAAAATAATAGTTAGGTTTTTATAGTCAATGAATCTTGTTACTTGATAAAATAATAGGATTTTATAACGTATGACAGATCCTTTTACAGTGTGCTGGTGATTATGATCTGCTGTATCTCCACCACATAGGTCTCCTCCCTTTCCCCCCTTTTCTGCCCTTTTAGGATAGGTGTGATTTCAGATTTTCTTACAGATTGCCATTCTGTGAGATGTAATGCTACTTTGCCATCATTCGGTAGATCATGCCTTGTGAGTGTTGTATTTGATTTGATTTTTACAGTCTCATCTAGGAATGAGATAGACTTATCTTAGCATGAAGCAGGAAAATTGAGTTAATTTTGAGTCAGCTTAGCTGAATTCTCTTTCAAAGAGAAAGAAATCTCTCCTGGCATCCCTGTTAGTGCATCGCATAGGAAGGACAGCCCGACAGGTTTGTACCAGAACCACCAGTAGTCTCAAGTTTGAGACTGTCTGAAGTCAGCCAGTGGCTGGACGATTAGCACCAGACTGACTTCCTGTGAGGGCTGTGATCCGTATGCTCTGTCAGCCGTGTGGAAAGTGAAGGGAGCAAATATGCTAAACATTTCCAGAAGTTACTGTAAAAACATAGACCAAAGCAAAGCAGATGCTTCATTGCAGATAGGCTGCATTGCTGCTCAGACGCTGGTTGGAGAGATGCTCCTAGGGCCGAGGGACCCGAGGGCATAAGTGGTGGGATCTTACACGTGAGTCGTGAGGAAGGCGCAGCTCTGTGACATGGCTGATGATATGTTTTCATACAGATGCATCCAAGAAGTCGGATTCAAATCCATTAACTGAAATACTTAAGTGCCCTACTAAAGTGGTCCTACTAAGGGTAAGAAGCAAAAGAAAGAAACCCATGCTGCCTTGCGTGATTTTTGTGTCTTACCCATCCCCCACCTCCACATGCTTTTGCACAAACACCATATAAGGGCGATTTTAGATTCTTTTCTCACTAATGTGTACATTTCTTTGCTAAATATAGTCTGCACTCCATATCCTGTGGTTCCATAGCTACAGACAGATTCAGCCAACTATAGGTCAGAAATAATTGGGGTGGGGGAAACCTGAAGATAATACAAATTTTTAGAGCTAGCAAATGGCATAATGGTTAAGTTAATGGACTCCCACATGGTTGACCATGGTTTGAGTCCCAGATCCGGCTGCTTATAATTCATACTGGGCACGTGTGTGTGTCTGAAATCCTGAGAAGAGAATGGAGGAGAAGGAATTATAGTGTAGCCATTCTCCCTGGGAAGTGATTTCTCACTTTCTGTCTCTGGCAAGTGCATGTGCCCTATAGCAAAAATCTCTCTTTAAATAAAAAAGATAATACAACAAATATTTATATGGCATTCACATTGTATTAGGTATTAAAAGTAATCTAGATATAATCGCAGGTAAATAGGAAGTTGTATAGATTATGTGTAAATACTGTTCATTTTATATAAGGGACTTGAACCATCTTAGATTTTGGTATTCAGGGCATTCTGGAATCAGTTCCCCTGTGATACTGAGGGACAGCTATACAGTGGTTAGGACTGTAGTACTTACTTTAAAATATTCGACATTATTAGAACATTAACTCAGTTTATACTTCGGTGCATGCATAGATATTCTTCTTAGTCTTCACATAACTTAATGGATGTCTTGTGTTCTAAGAAATACCAACTTTATAAACCAGTCGTGGTATCATGCTCTGGACCCTGCTGCTCAGCAGGCTGAGGCCACATGGGAAACCTTGGTTCTAGAAGGCTGAGCTCAGTGGTGTGTACTTGGGGTGGTGTGCACCTGTGGTTCCCAGCTACTTGGGAGGCTGAGGCAGGTGTATTGTGACATGGTAAGACACTGTCTAAAAGAATGTCACACGCCAAATAATATGATAATAACCACCTTTTATTACTTTAGGGACAAAATTTTCATTGAGTCATTTGGGATTGAGAACATTTGCCATTATAATTATGAAAGAAAGTCTTACTTAAGTATCTGTAAATTATACTTTGTACTTCATCTTTACTTACTTTTGTTTATAGAACATGGTTGGTGCAGGAGAGGTAGATGAAGACTTGGAAGTTGAGACCAAGGAAGAATGTGAAAAATACGGAAAAGTTGGAAAATGTGTGATATTTGAGGTAAGAGAATTTTCTTTGATGTTTATACCCCATATTATAATTGGCATATTATAAAACATTTCTACAAATAGAATCAGGGTATGCTATAAATAACATGTTATCTTTTTGCAGAATGTGATATGTGATTAGTATTTCTCTTGGTCAGTTATAACATGTTTAAAATTAAAAATTAGAATGACTGCAGATTTTTTTTGGTGAAGAAATACAAATGTTTCATTTTATGATTGAGAATCAGTATCATGATTAAAGACTGTGATTACAGTGTATGCTCACTAGTTACTTAGACATGCCTTTGGTTTCAGTCATGTGGCAAGTAATTACTGTGGTGTATGCCTTTCACATACACTGTGTGTTGAGATCATTTGGGATACAGGAACATTTTCTGAACTCTCAGTGATATATTCAATTGAAGAAACACAATAAGCTCATATAAAATAACGAGAGAATATTCAGTAATAAACTCAGTAGTATCGGATGTAAGTATGAGAACTGAGAAAAGGATTATTTCAACAAAAAAAAGAGAAAGCTTTGTGAACAGTATCAGTGATGAGCAGAGCTTTGAAATGAATTGGTAGAATTTCGGGAGAGGGCCAGAGAAGGGTATTCAGTTTGGGGTAACAGCTTCCGAGAGACCATGAGGAGAACCATAGAACAGCTCACTGGACCTGCTGTGAATCAGCAGGAGATGTGCTCACATAGATGCAGCAGAACCTATCATGGAGGGCCTAGAAAGCTAGACAAAACTAGTCAACTTTATGAATTCGAAAGGCAATTAAAGTAAGCTTGTTTATTTCTTCCATGAGTGAGAGAGGCACCCCTAACAGAATCTTCATGCTGCAATCCACACAGAGCCTCAGTTGGTTTGGATTGTGGATATTCATGTATTTACTCCCAGCATGCAGAAGAGATCCTGGATCTTGAATCTAGGACTTTCCCATTTGGGTCCAGGTGATTTATCATTGCACCCACACCTGGCCCCTCAATATATTTTTCATGGTGAACAGATTTTACTTTTTTCTTGGTATTTGACTAATACTTGCCTATATGTGATGATAATTAAAATATTTACTCTAACACAAATCATTTAAAAGAAATATATATAGTGATATGTAAAATGATAACTTTGCTCATTATACTTTATTTTTTCAGATTCCTGGTGCCCCTGATGATGAAGCAGTACGGATATTTTTAGAATTTGAGAGAGTCGAATCAGCAATTAAAGGCGAGTTGTACAGTTTAATGTTAGATAAGTTAAAAATTAAATTTAACCTTAAGCTCTATAATTAGAATTACATATATATATACACACACACATACACACATATATATGTATATATGTATGCTATGATTTAGTTAAAGTTATTGTTGTGTTGTCCTATGGGATATCTGTGCTAACTGACTGTCTTTTTGCTTGTCTTTTAGCTGTTGTTGATCTGAATGGGAGATACTTTGGTGGACGGGTGGTAAAAGCATGTTTCTACAATTTGGATAAATTCAGGGTCTTGGATTTGGCAGAACAAGTTTGATTTTAAGAACTAGAGCATGAGTCATCTCCGATAATCCTTAAATGATCCGCAAGTTGAGCAAAGAAGAGAAAAGGCAATGGCCTCCGTGGCTGTTGGAGACTGAGACTCTTGGAAGGACTTCTAAGACATATGTTGATGGTCCCTTTTTTATTTTGTGGTTTTTTAAATATAGTATAAAAATCCTTTTAAAAAAAAAAAAACAACAATCTGTGTGCCTCTCTGGTTGTTTCTCTTTTTTATTACCACTTCTGAGTTGATTACATTTTTTTCCTAGGACTTCATGGTAGTTCTCAAGTGCTTCAATGATGCAACATTTCTTGCACTAAAAATCTAGGAAGTTTGGGTACATGGGGTTGTATTATATTATCCTTTGTTTTCTTCTTCTTTTTTTAAAATAAAGCTTGCAAGTACCTGAACTATAGCTTCATAAATTCTGTAATAAAATATCATCTTGGCAATATGCCAAAGGTGAAAATGTCTGCTTTCTCTAACAGAGAAATTCTTAGTGACTCCAGCTGTAGAAAACGCTTTACAACCTGAACTGAGATTGAAGAACTGTGAGCCTACCATGACCTATTTGGATGAATCAAGTCAGCTAAGGGCCTATGAAGGATTTATGGTATATGTGGGTCTAGAAATCATGAATCTATAATAGAATTTGTTTTCAGAGATTCAAGCATAGTCTTTAGGGTCATTCAGAAATGACAGGTTAATTCAGAACCTAGCAGGTACATTGTAAATGTGTGCCCAGTTATGTTTTGGAAATGACAATTCCATGGGAGTCATGTTTCTATGGGCAAAATTTGCAATGATGTTAATTCTGTTGTATGTAATTTTTTAAATTATGAAATTCAGTCACATAAGCTACTTAAACTATTTGGCTGGTTTATATAGTTCTGGAATTGTGAAAAATTGTACCTCTCAAGTACAGTCGTATGTGTGGCTTTACAATTTAGCAGGACCACACACACACACACACAAAAAAAAATACATAAAAATATTCAGTACTGAGGTTCATTGTCAAGGAAGGAGATATTTCTAGCAAATACTCCTGCCCGTGTTCTGTTCTTATGTTTCCCAAATACTGCATGTGACTTTCCTGACGTGGCAACTGAAGGACGTACACCTGTGTAGTCTCTCTAGCTTACTGCGACATGAGAGTGTATCGTGACCCTTGGGAAAGAACTCAGCATTTCTTTTCATCCATGGCCTTGGTTTGGAGACATAAGGAATATTCTGACCCTTTTTAAAAAAGGATTTTCTCATGTTTTTATTTAACATAAATAAAAGAATAACATTTTATCTTTTGTGGTGTTATTTTACTGAATAAAATTGAATCAAGACTGGAGTTTGTGGTAAAAATACATCCATTCTATAAAGTAAGTATGAGTTGAAGAATATAAAGTAAAATAATACAGAGTTGAACATTCTGTAGGATAGTAAGAATCAAACTTAGTTTTTATTTTTTTGGATTTTTGACATAGGGTATATGCACAAGACAGAGAGGGAAGGAGAGTGAATAATGATCCCCATATCACAATCCCTTTTGTTCCATCCTCCTGTCAAGATTTTGTGTATGCATATTCACATTCCTGGCATGTTTTTCAAGCCTCTGGGTCTGGGACTCAAACTGCGGAGTTGGCCATGTAGGATCCAGTACCTTAACCACTATGACACCTGTTGGCCCAGAATCAAATTTAGTTTTACCCATGGAATTGATACATGAATATGGATATGAATACCAAATTTGAGCTTACAAGCACCCACATGTGCTGTGCCAAATATTAGATGACTAATTTAATTGTTATAAACAAATGTGCTTCAAGTATAAATTCTAAACAATTTAATACCTTGCATTTGTTGTTCTTGTGCTTTATAATAACATTATTGCTTATTTGCATTTAGATGGCTTTTCCTGGCATGACCAGCAACCAGAGAAAAGCATGTGACTCATACTAATTTGATTTTTATTAGTATGGGTACAACTTAGGTGATGTTTTTCTCCTCAGTCTCTAATTATTTTCTGAATTATCCATAAACTGCAGTAATTGTTTAGTGGATTATTTGTAACTAATTTCTGATATTAGAATGATAGTTCTAAGTATCTTGTTAGTGCTTTGAAATTAATTTTCATTAGTAGCTTCAAGTTAATATTAAAAATTTCAATTTTGGAAATTACTTAAGCTACAGTATAACTAGCAAAGTTCAGTGTAATACTCTAGAAATTTGTTCTTTGTGGCTAGCCTGTGATCTTTTGAAAATCTGTCGGTGTTTGGGGAGTTTCCTGCTTTCACTCTCCCTCCCTAACACAGAGACTAGCAACTGACTTTCTGGGCTTGTCTTGCAGGTCAGTCTGGGCTGTGTGCTTTCAGTAGGAGAGCCAATCCAAGACCTCAACTGAGAGTGAGCTTTGGAAAGGGCCCAGTGGGGTGGCGCTGTCTAGAATAGACCTTGTCATTCAAAGTAGCATGTGTTGTCTGGTGGGGCAGACTTTGTGGAGTGTCTTGGCTGTGGTTTGGGAGTTTCTTTGCTTTACATAAAACCTCTAAGCTTGATTTTGGCCTATCTGGAGATTTCATTCATGCTCTAGCATTTTTTTGGTGAATGTCTTCTTTTTAAACAACCTGTCAATAGAATGAGTTATTTTATTTGTCATTAGGAACTCTGGTCGGGTTCAGAGGTGGCACAGTGGTTAAGGCACTGGATTTCCAGGTGGCCAGCTGTGGTTCAGGTGCTGGACCTGGGGGCTTCAAAATCATGCCAGGCATTTGTGCATGTGTGTCCAAAGTCCTGAGAGGAGAATGAAGGGCAAAGGACTGTTGTGTGGCCATTCCCCTGGTGGGTGATTTTTCACTTTCCTTCTCACTGTCTCAGGCAAGAGCATGTGCCACATGGCAAAAACCTTTAAAAAACAAAACAAAAAATCTCTTGACTAATAAACAGGTTGATAACCTGAAATCACAGCATGTGCCATATGGCAAAAACCTTTAAAAAACAAAACGAAAAATCTGTTGACTAACAAACAGGTTGATAACCTGAAATCACGGAATGTCTGTCAGCTCCTTAGGACAGGATTAGCAAAGACCTAATCTCCCTAGATTGAAAAACTGATGAATCTAGTTATTTAGTGGTAAAACATTTAGTCAAACTGTTACTGTACTTTGGAATAGAGACCAGATTGGTGTTAAGGGAAATATTAGGAAGACTGGAGCATGCTGGTGTTGGTCACTTAAGCAGCTGTAGTGTTGAACCAATGTTGGGGGGTTCACACCTTGGTTTTCTACAGCCTGCTCTGTGACTGACTGTCGTATGATGATCATACTTAGACTTGTTAGGAGTAAATTGTATATGAAGGGTTTTCAAAAAAGTTTGTGGACATATTGGATGTATAAGTTATAGAAAAAACTATACATAGATTTCAAGATTTTTTTTGTACCGAAATAAACTTGTACTTTAATTATGTATTTCCATAAACTTTAAAAAATTCGCTCATGCTTTAGTCTGCTTGGTTGCTGTAACAAAATCCCACAAACTTTGTAGCTTATAAATAACAAATGTTTCTCACAGTTCTGGAGTTTGGAAGTCCAAGGTCAGGATGCCTGTAGATTTGATGTGTGGTGGGGGCCACTTTCTGATTCATAAACAACCGTCTTCTCCCTGTGTCCTCACATGGCAGGAAGGCCAAGCGTTATTTCTGGAGTTTCTTTTATAAGGTTACTAATCCCATTCATGAGGGCTCCACCTTGACCTCACCTCCCAAATGTTTCATTCTCTTATTACTGTCACTTTGGGGGTTAGGATTTCAACACAGATTTCAAGTCAGGGCCCCAAGCATTCAGATCATAGGATATGTGGGCAGCAGTGACACATCAGTGTTAAGTAAAACAAGCTGCAGAATCCTGCAAAGGAAAGAGAAACTAAGACTAAAGCTGGTTTGAAAGCAGATTGAAGATTCACATCCTTGCTAAGAGAAGCTTTCTCTGCTTGTAACCTGTCAATCAAAGTTGAAGGAGAGTCCCAAGCTTTATAGAGTCATGCTAGTTTGGAAAAATCCATAATTAAAAAGGCCTAGCAGTGCCTCTAGCAGGAGTTTATATTGAAGGTTATAGTCTTGCAAAATGGAATTGAAGGTGTTGCTTTTCTGTTTCAAGTGATGATTTGAGATTTTTGCTTGTTTATTCATGATTGTGTGAACACTGATGAGAGAGATGAGCCTCCTACCCAGGCTCCGGTCATGCCGTGATCCCTTCCGGCTTGTTGGATCTCAAGCACTTGCATGTGACCAGCTTGTTTCAGGCTGACCAGGACACTGGTCACCATATAGGATTCTGTTTCCCCCAAGGAGCACATTACCATTGTACCACAAAGCTGGCCCTCAAATGATGATACTGAATAGCTTCAGGACAACCACCTTTAAGGTAAGGAAGAAGCCCCAGACCACCAGCAGAGAAAAAAGTCCCATCTGGGTTAGATGCTTTTGTTTACTTGACCATGGAATGCACAGATAACCCTGTATTTTTAGTTCTAGGTATTGGACCCCACGTTTGGCCCCAAAGGGGAAAAATGACATTTTGCCTAGAACTTTTGGACTGAAATCAGTAAAAAAGAGACTTGGAATCGTCTTCCTTAGGTTGAGGGCGAGCGCTTTTAAAGCACACATGTGGAAGGACAGTGCATGTTGCGCAGAAGCCAAGAAGGTAGGCTGTGACAGGTACTGCTGTCCTGACACCTATTCCTAAACTACTGCTCCCTGTCTGGTGCTTCTGTTTTAAAGGCTGGAAAAGTTAAATTCTTACTTGAAGCTAGGGCAGCCATGTGATGATGTGGCCACTGAGATGTAAGTGGGAATGTGTGTGTAGTTCTAGAAATATGTTGTGCTTTCCTGATTGAAAGGAGCAAGTGCAGCCGCTGCCACCTGACCTTCAACACGGATGCAGTACCAGAGCCACGGTAAAGGTTAATGAACCTTGGGCGATTAGCCACTGTGCCAGGGACAGCAGAGAGGGATGGTTTGGCTCTGTCAGTTAACTGCTGTGTAGCCCCAAGTGTAAGAATGGTGTGGGCTACTTTGAGCTGATTTTTCTTGCTCCAACTTCATCCTTCACTGATAGATATTCTGCCTACTGTCCAAATGTATATGGTATATTCAAGAGCTGAGCAGGAAGGGAATTTTTTTTTTTAGATAATTAAAAATCACCTTGCTTTCTAAAAGTTCATAGTCTATTTAAGAGGCAGAAGCAAACATGCAAGATGAAAGTGCTAAACATGACATGTCATGAGACTGAACTCTTGGGGGTTAGTGTTTTTATCTCTAGTCTCAGCATTGCACAGCACAAATTCTCAGTTTGCTGGATGGGTATATAAAGTACAAAGAGACCAAAGATGACTGAGCAGATCTGTTAGAAGTGGTAAAGTCAGTTGGCAGGTGGCGGGTGGTTGGGCCACTGGACTCCCACAACT